TATGAACTCTTTTTAAAAAAAATTTATTCTATTAATTTTAATGAACATTTACAGAGATTTTGGATTTCCATTCATTCATCATTGCACTTTTCTCCCTGCCCGCCCCCCCCCCCAGTTTGCTCCTCTCTTTGAAAAGTAAAAGAACAATTCTTTCTTTGGTATATAATTCCCCCACACCCCTCCCACCGCCCCGAGTACACTATTTTTAAAGGCCCTCCCTGGTTTTTGGTAGAGTCTCTTAAGTGAGGACAGATTGATGCACAGACTCTAACAACAAGCTCCAGCAGATCCTGAGGATGGCACAGGACAGGGCAAGGTGTGGGTCTATGCGAAGCCAAATTTCTTATTAAATATTTGTAATGAACAGAATGCTACTTCAGGTTATGAGGGAGGCTGGTACCAGCTGGAATTCATCCTGAAGCACTAAGGCAATCCTTAAGCGTTTACAGGACTCTTGCATTGTATTTGCTGATCCCTCCCTCCTGAGTCAAGCAGAAGGCTTTCAATAGAAAAAGCTTAGCTTCACCTGTGTTGGAGTCTCGTTGTGATTTACTCCCTGGCAATTTTCAATAAAGACAGGAAAGCTGGAATCAGTGAGTCAGTTCACTTCAGTTGTTCGAGAACTGTTCACTTCCTGCTTTACCTCTGTCCTTCTCCTATATTCTTGGTGTTCTGTCTCGTTATTAATATTTTTAAAAAATACTTTGCCCTCAGTCTACAACACAGGTCTGTTGTTCAGAGAGTCTCTGTGAGTTACAGTCAACTCGATGGCACCAAACCACATGAGAGATGACAGCCTGGTGGTCAGACCAGGACATGGTTGTGAGAGAAGATAAACTTTACTCATGTTATGATCTGTTCCCTTTGGATTTTCACATTTCTCAGCCTGTTCATAATCCATATGTCGAGATGACAGAAGAGGAATCTACACCTTTGAGTTGTAATGCTGGAGAAGAGTCTTGAACATACCATGGACTGCCAAGTTAGAATACGCAGTTCGCTCTTGAAGAGGATGAAACCAAGTTTCTCCTTGGAGGCAAGGATTTTGAAACTGTATCTCATATGCTTTGGGCCAGGAAGGACTGGTCTTTGGAGAAGGACATCATGCTTGGAAGGGTGGAGGGACAGCACAGGAGAGGAGGACCCCAGATGAGGTGAATTGAAACAGTAACTGGTGGAATGGGGGGAGGAGTGTCAGAGTCAGTGAGACTGGTTCAGGACAGGGCAGGCTTCAGAGCTCCTGTACACAGAGTCGCTTTGGCGACTCAGCAGCATGTAATAACAACAGCAGCAAGAGTCCATCTGTCAGAACAGGCTCATGTCCTTTGTCCTTGGACTTTGTCTAGAATTGGTATGTCATAGATTTAAAGGCTAAAGGAATGGATGGTTGGTTGGAGGGGTGATGCTTAAATGGAGACAGTATTTCTAGGCATGTATGTCTTGAGTGGTCACCAGAAGAACCCGGTTTATCTGTCTGTGGCTCAGAGAGCAGCTAGGATAACTGTGGCTGCTGCCAAGTCTGTCATTACCCGGAGCCAAGATGATAATTAGCTCCAAGGTTGCAGCTATTGATTTAGCAGCCAAGGAACCGAGGAACGCGTCAGGAGAGCTTGGGGAAGAGCACTCCGAATCCGTGGGCGACACTGTCCCAGCTCTGCTCTGTCTCTGTCTCCCTGCCCTGACCATACCTCTATCAGAAAATGAATGGACATTTTCGTGTGCTTTCTCCCAGTTGATTGAAGGCTTCTCAGAGACAAAGGCGATTTTTTAAAAATACGTCATATTTTCCTGGCACCTTTCATGGTATCAGGTATGAAGTATCTGTGTCCAAAATTAAACAAATAAATGGAATCCATTCCAATTCATGGCGACTCTCACTAGGGTTTCTGAGACGGTAAACTCACTGAGAGTAGATTGTTTCCTCTTTCTCCCATGGAGTGACTCGTGGATTTGAACCACAGACTTTCCGTTAACAGCACACGCAGCAAGTCCTTCACTGGGTGAGTTAGTACTGCACATGTCACTAGCTTGCTTGGCAGTTAGATGGCTGCGTGGGTAAAGGAATGGATGGCTGGTTTTAAGGATGACAGGTGGTCGGGTGGTTGGGTGAATGAATTGTGGGTCTTTTAGGATAATAGGCTTTTGGATGCTTTGCAGGATAGGCAGTTGGGTAATGAGCTGCCTTTTGGAGAGCTGTTGTTGGTGTTATTAGGTGCCATCGAGTGATTCAGAGCAACTCTGTGACCAACACATCTGAACCTTGCCCTGTCCTGCAACCCTCATGACAGCTGCCAGGCTCAAGCCCATTGTTAAGGTCACTGCGTGAATCCATACTGTTGAAGGTCTTCTTTCTCTGACCTCCACCTTTCCAAGAATGATGTCTTTTTTCCAAGGACTGTTCCCTCCTTACAGCATACTCACAGTCTGTGAGTTTTACCTTCTCTGCCTCTAAGGACCGCTTTGGTGGCACGTTCTCCAAGAGAGCCAGGTCCTTGGAACTGCTTAGATGGGCAGATGGATTTACAGATGTCTAGTGAATGAAAAGATGTGACCTTATTGGCCACGCAGAATCAGCTTTCGTTTAATACAAGAACCTCTCCCTGCAGTATGTATACTGCCTTTAAATGCATGCCTGTGTGCCTGCAGTGACTGATGTAACAGACCTCTAACCAACAGTCACATTCATTCTAAGTCTTTCCTCAGTTTTAGGCATGAGCCTGTGGTGTGCATTAGTGATTTAGGGCATGAGCTTTAGACTGGGATTGACTTGGTTTGGGTCTAACTTCACGATTGAGAACAGTGTAGCCCTGAGTGGAGCGAAGCCCTGGATGGAGTCCTTCGTTTCCTCATTTGGAAAATGATAGAAGAACAGTAATTATGAGGATCAAATGAGATCATGGAAGTCAGAGACTGATCAGTATTCATTTAAACCTGTTGTTAGCAGGGATTGTTATTGCTATTTGCTGTGCCACGATGTGGTGGTGGTGGTGGTGGAGGAGGTGGTGGTGATGGTGGTAGAGGTGGTGATGGTGGTAGAGGTGGTGGTTTTATGTGCTATGTCACCTGATACTCATACTGATCCTATGCGCAACAGCTCTGAAGTCTGCCCTATCTTGAGCCAAATTCACTGACTCCTACACACCTAATCCCATTGCCCCAGTTACCATGTCAGTCCATCTCATCTGGGGTCTTCCTCTCCTGTGCTGTCCTTCCACCCTTCCAAGCATTATGTCCTCCACCAAGAACTGGTCCCTCTTGGCTACATGTCCAAAGTAAGTGAGACAGAGCTTCAAAATCTTTGCCTCCAAGAAGAAACTTGGTTTCACCCTCTCCAAGACAGGCTTATTTGTTCTCCTCACAGTCCATGGTATGTTCGAGACTATTCTCCAGTACCACAAAGGCATCAGTTCTTCTGTCATCCTTTGTCATTGTCCTGATCTCTGATGCATAGCATGTAATTGCAAAGACTATGGCCTGGATCAGCTGCACCTTAATCTCTAGACGGACATCATTACTCCTCAACGCTATGGAGAGGTGTCTGACAGCAGACTTCCCAATGCAGTTCACCTCCCTCCCACAGTAAAGCTGCATAGCAGATATATATTCCAGTATTGTGTATTCATTGGTACACGAGGCTGAAATAATCCTTCAGCACTTGGTGCTTATGTTCAGAGGAGTATTTAGGTCTCAGTTAAGCAAGTAAACAGAAAAGCCGTTTCAGCCAGTGTGAAAGGATGTGCAGAAATTTGAAATAAGGTGGTGGGAAAGAGACGGGGGTGATAGATCAAGGCCAGAGTGGAATTGTCGCATGGGGTTTCCAAGGCCATAAATCTTCTGTCAAGGCTTCCTGCTGCAGAGCGGCTGGTGGGCTTGAACTGTGCACCTTCAGGTTCACAGATGAGTGCTTTGCTCATATTCTGGGTCCCCTAATCTAAGAATTTACCGTCTAACACCCTTAAGAAGCGAAGTTAGACCCAGCGGAAGTCAGGCCACACAAAGCAAGAAGAGTTTTGGAGGGGCTTGTAGTGGGTGTGGATGACTTAGTGGCCGCAGGTGTATACGTGGGGACTTCGTGCCAGCGCCCCTGTACCACTGACCACCGGTGCTCTTGGGGTTAATTCCCCTCACACAGCCTCTCTCTCCAGGTAGAGCTATGAACGCTCATAGACTTCCAGCTGACATGCAACACAGAGATACTCTCTTACCCCTTAATTCCAGCCACTTCTGGAACTGTCTGATTAACCATCAAGTTCATCTCTGAACACATAGCTATGGCCTGTCAGCTGTAGCATCCAGTTGTCCTCTGTGAGAAGACCTGCCCTGGAATCATTATGGAGTTAATCCTCCCCCGCTCCCCGATCCACATAGACTGAGAAGGGAGGGAGGAGAGAGTGGTGTCCCCCCAAAATAATGATTGTTGTGAGAAGAGAAGGGCAAGTGGGTTCTGGACAGGATGGAACAACCTGGGTTGTTCACCTTTCCTTACTCAGAAGTAACTGTCCCTCCACTGCGTGATCCTTAAAGCTCATGGGCTTGGTTGCTAACTAGAACGTTGGTGGTTCAGGTCTATCCAGAAGACCTTGGAAGAAAGGCCTGGCAATCTACTTCTCAAAAGGCCAGCCGTTGAAAACCCTGTGGATCTCAGTTCCACCGTGTCACACACAGGGTCACCATGAGTCAGTATCAGCTAGACAGCAGCCGGTTAACTGTTCCTCCTGTGGCTGAGAGATACCTTCTGGTTTCTCGTCAGGATCTGATGTCTCTGTATCTGTGTCTCCAGCTCAGTGAAGACCCTTTGAGAGTGGAAGCCTTGTGCTTTAAGACCACCTCAGTGCCCCTCACTCCTGTGGTGACGGACAGGGTCACAGTCAAGGGCATGTTTCTGAAAGGTGACTCAGTATGGTGGTGATGGTCCTCCAAAAAGAGTGTCCGAGAAAGCCCCACCCACGAGGGACCTTCCAGCTGCACCTCACACGCCCGGTGTCTTGGGTTCTCCTCAGGCAAAGCCAACAAGAACGTGCAGTGGGATGAGGACTCGGTGGAGTACATGCCTACCAACCCGGTGAGAATCGCCTTCGTCCTGGTGGTCCATGGCCGCGCCTCCCGGCAGCTACAGCGCATGTTCAAGGCTATCTACCACAAAGACCACTTCTACTACATCCACGTGGACAAGGTGAGAGGCGCTGTGCATTTGCCAGGTTCCCGTCTGTCTCTGCGAGGCCATCTGTCCTTCCCTGAGACCCTCCTCACACGTCACTAGGGCAGTCCCTAACCCCTCTTTTTAATGGGGAACGTTGTAGCTGGACTCTTAAGGGCATTTGTGTCTGTTTCTGTGTGTATATGTGGGTGTGTGAGAAACAGAGAAAGAGAAGGGGGTGGGGGGAGAGAGACAGAGTGTGTGTGTGTGTGTGTGAGGGAGGGAGAGGGAGAGGAAAAAGAGCATGTGCGGAAGAGAGAAAGAAAAAGTTTGTGTGAGAGATAGAGACTGAGAGGGGTATGCATGACAGAGATAGGATATGGGTACATGCACATGTGTGGGTGTGTGTGAGAGAGAGAGAGAGAGAGAAAATATAATGTGTGTGTGAGAGAGAGAGAGACAGGGTGTGTGTGATATAGAAATAAAGATAGGACGTGTACGTGGGGCAGAGAGAGAGGAAGGAGCATGTGTGAATGAGAAAAAGGCTGTGTGAGAGAGAGACTGAGGGGTGTGCGTATGACAGACAGGATGTGTGTGCATGTATGCACGTGTGTGTGAGAGAGAGAGAGAAATGTGAGAAAAAGAAGTAGAATGTGTGTATGAGAGACAGGATGAGGATGCTTGTGTGAGAGACAGGACGTGTGTGTGTGTGAGAGAGAGAGAGAGAGAGATGGAATAGGGGAGGGAACATAGAGGTAAGATGTATCTGAGAAGTAAAGAGATTAGAGAGAGACTACGAGAGAGAGGAGAAAAAAATGGGGGGGTGTTTGTGACAGATAGGATGTGCGTGTTTGTGAAAGAGAAAGAGATGTGTTTTTGCGAGAAAGTATGTGGAAGAGAGGGTGTGTGCGGGAGAAAAGAGGAAGGACAGGTGAAAGGAAAAAGGGTGGGTGAAAAGGAGAAAGTACATGTGAGAGAAAAAAAGCTGAATGCTTATGTGAAAGGGGAAAAGAGGGTGTTGTGTGCATGAGAAATAGAGCCGATGTATGCATGCGTGCGTGCTTGTGTGTGTGTGTGTGAGCATGTTTGAGAAGTGTGAGGATGTGTGCTCGTGTGTGTTTGTGAGAGAACGTGTGTGTGTCTATGAAAAAGGGTGTGTGTATATATGAGAGAGTGTGTCCTTTTGTCTGTGTGTGAGAGAAAGAGTGTATACATGTACGAAGTTTCTGGTGGTGACTTTATGCTTTCTCCATAAATACCACTTATCATACCTCTTTCTTTTCACTGCCTGCTCTCTACCTACTGCCCTCTCCCTCCCTCTCCCATATTTTGTGGGTTAGTGATCTTTTTTCCGTAACGGGTACAGTAGGGAATATTTCAGGGTTTGTGTCCCCAGCCCCAGCCTCATCAACCATTAGCTCAGAGGTGATACCAAGGAATCCGTATATCAGATTGCGAGAACAGAAATAAGAGCAGATTCCAGGTTTCAGTAGCAGCGTTCCACCCAGCAGAGGGGCCCCCAGACCAGCATCGGCTTCTGGAGTCATAGCTCCAGCGGGGAGAGGGGGAGAGGCGAGACCTCCGTCTGCATCATTTCCTGCTGCTCAGTGTCTCCCTTTCTCTCCCACGAAGCGTTCAAACTACCTGCACCGGCAAGTGCTCCAGTTCACCAGGCTGTATGCGAACGTGCGCGTCACGCCCTGGAGGAGGGCCACCATCTGGGGGGGTGCCAGCCTGCTGTCCACCTACCTGCAGAGCATGCGGGACCTGCTGGAGATGACCGACTGGCCCTGGGACTTCTTCATCAACCTCAGCGCGGCTGACTATCCCATCAGGTAAGGTGCCCGGTGTCTCCTGCCAGCCAGGCCTGGGGTCACTCTGTGCTTGCTCACTGCCGGACAACTAGAAGGCAGAGCAGGATGCTTCGTGTCCAGAAGATACTGGCGAAGCGTGTGCCAATGTGGCCCCCTTTAGATCCCTCCTGGGAGAGGGTTCCGGGTGGGCCTGACCCTCGCTTACCTCTGCATCCATTTATTGCTTTGTTCATCCATCAGTGTTCTCTGAAGTCACCTTTCCTCCTCTGTTCTAGGATATGCTGTTGGTGGTATTGTTAGCTGCCATTTAACTTAGCGCTCAGATAGTGGTCACCCCCATGCTCAAAGATTGCAGAGCTGCACAACTGTGTGTTACCTCTGTTTACGATTTTCTGCACTTGGTTTACACAAGTATATCTTTAGCCCTTTTCTCCTATTTTGACATATTTTGGAATCTCCACTGAAACAAGTTCAACACCATACTTTTGTTGGGTGAAGCTGAGGATGCTGTGGTTCCTGGGACCTTATGAACAAAGAGATCTGAACCTTACCCTGTGCCCTACCGACCTCACAGCCTCAGCCAGGCTCAAGCCCTGTGCTGCGGTTACTGTGTCAGCCCATCTCACTGAGGACTTCCTGTCTTTCACTTGTCCCCTATGTTTTCAAGTAGTTCCGCTGCATACAAAATGTGTAGGCTGGGGATTGAACCTTGGTCTCTCACATGAAAGGCGTGAACTGTGGCTCTGGTCTACACTGGCGCCCCTCTTGTCTAGGATACACCAGTACAGGAAAGAGACAGAAACCCTGACTCTAATGGGGCGTCTGTATCCAGTGAGAGAGACAGGCAACAAATAGGTGGTGAAATGTCAACAGGTGAAAATGTCACGTCAGAAGAATCAAGAGAATGTGAGGTCAAGGGCTAGGACGTGGGATGGCATACTGGCAAGGGTTTCCACTGCACTGAGGTGACCAGGAACGCCCCTCACTGAGAAATGGACAGAAAAAAATCGATGAAAGAAAGTGAAGGAGCAAGTAAGGATGACAGGAAAAGATTCCAGACGAGGGCTGAGCCCTCAGGTGGGAGCAGAACTCCTGCAGTAGAGGAAGAGCAGGTCGGAGTGGCTGGAACGGAGCAGGTGAGGGGATGCATAAAGCAGCAAAGGGAAAAAGTCAGTGACACCATCATGGAGATTACAGTAGCTGACTTGATTCCAAGCTAGCTGGGAGCCAGGAGGCATGGTTTTTGCATGAGGGACAATCAAGACGAGTTAGCTGGTCAACTGAAAGAGTGGGGCGGGGTAAGAGAGGTTTTGGTCATTATCTAAGGCAGACCTCTTATGATTGTTTACTCTCTAGTGAGAACCAACCCATAACTGACCCTTGAGTGGGTTTTCAAAGGTGGTTAATCACTCGGTAAGAGATTGCCCATCAAATTTTGTAAATAAACTAGTAGAAAAATTTTAAAAAAGAGAGAAAGATAGAGAGATTGCCCATCCTTCTCCTGCAGAGCATCTGGTGGATTTGAACCGCGTGTCTTTTCAAAGTGTTTAATAAGTTGTTCTTATTAGATAAGAGGTGGTGGGTGGTAATGCCTAATTTGTGGAGCTGATGACTGAAAGGTTGGTAGTTCAAATCCATTAACCACTCTTCAGGAAAAGAAGTGGACACTCTCCTCCTGTAATGATTTATGACCTTGGAAACCCAGTGGAGGTCACTGAGTCAGAATCGCATCACCAGTCACCATTAGTGGATGGTATTGTTCATTTGGTTGATCTGGTTTTTTCTTCTTGGTTACCATCAAGTTGACTCTAGGTGATGATAAACATTATCTGCTGGGTAGAACTGCTCCATTGAGTTTCTAAAGCTGACACCTTTTGGAAGCAGAAAACCAGACCTATCTTTTAAGTGGGTTCAGACTGCCCACCCTTTGGCCGCCTGTCAAATGTTCAACCACTCCAGCACCTGTGCACCCTGGGAGGATCGGTTGGAACACAAACAGATATCCATCAAGGTCATGACTATGTTGTCTTGGCCTTCACAGGACCATGACAGATGAATCATTGACCATAGGTAGAATGGGAGATTTCACATGCAGCTTTCTATTCATAGCTACTCTTGAAGACCTGTCCATTCTGTCTTCCTGCTTGGCCGTGATGCCGTGGAGCTGGTATGGCCACCAAGCAGCCTGAGGTCCTAGAACCAGATGCAGCAGCATTCCGAGGAGCTACCAGGATGGTCTGGCCTTTTGTACATGCAGTGATTGGCTTTTTAAAAATAGACCAGAAGCAAAGAGACACCCTCTGGGGGGAGAGCTTGTAAGGAGAAAACACCACACAAAAAGATGCTATTCATTTCTTATCAACAAGGCTTCCATATCCTGGGCTGTTCACAGAGGTCAGAATGGAGGAAAAAAAGCCTCCTTCCTCAATGGGGTGAGGATCCTGGGTGCCGTATTGCCAGAAGAGATGGATGTAGGCACCGTAAAAACAAAAACAACAAAAAAAAAACACAAAATACAACAGCCATGACTCAGTTTCAACAATGACCAACTCACAGCTAGTCTTGGGTTTTGTTTTCTTTGATTCTCCCCAGGATCCCTCTCTCTCTCTCTCTCCAACACGGAATAATTTTGAAGTAAACACCAGATGCCCTATAATTGCACCTGTAACCTCCCCAGTATACATCTCCGAAAGATAAAATCTCTCTTGCAATATAACAGTGATCTATAGCTCTTCTTTTTTCTTTAAAAAATATCAAGATAGGTATTTTTTTAAATTGTGATTTCAACAAACGTTTACAGAAAAGTTGAATTTTCTTTCATTCATGGTTGCACGTATTTCTCTCTACCCCCTCACCAGCTCACTTTAAAAAAGAAATTCATTGTTGCAGCCTTTCCTCCCCTCACCCCGTTCACTTTGCTCTGTACCTCTTGTTCCGGACGGTTGTCATACAAATAATGCCCAATAACTCTTCTTGTTGACTGTCCTCAAGTCAACCTTGACTCATGGCAGCCTTCTCTGTAACAGACTGCAGTGTTCCCTGGTCCTGCACCAGCCTCAGGAGGTTTGGTTTGTTTGGGTCCTTTGCTGTAACTACTGTGTGAGTCCATGAGTCCATCTCATTAGGGTTCTGTCTCTCTTTTGCTGACTCTCTATCAAACATGATGTGCTTCTCCACTGATTGGCCCCTTCTGATTTTATGTCCAAAGTCAGTGAGACAAATTCTCTCCCAACTCCTCTATCTAAGGTACACCTTGCCTGTACCTCCTCCGGAACTGGTCCACTATTCGACTCCCCGTGGTATAGTCAGTATTCTTTGTAGATAGCAAGTTGAATGTGTCCATTCTTCTTGGGTCTTTCTTTTTATTGTCCAGTTTTAACAGCCATTGTTAATGTCATCCTGTATTCCATACCACGTATGCCAAAGAGAGTTTTAAATGAATTTTAAATCAGGATCTAAACAGGGTACAGCCATGGGAGATGCCTAATTATGACTGGAAGTGTCTCCTGTCTCCTTCACAATATGGTCTCTAGGGTCATTTCTGAATCCTGGACTTAGGGGCATCCCATCATCTTCCAGGAGACCTGGGGTCAAGGAGGGGCTGGACGTAAGGCACCATCTCTGTTTATTTAGGATCCGAGACATCTAGTACCCTTGAACCTGAGCAAAAGGAATCAGGCTGGAAGGATACCTGCCTCCTTTTGTTCAGAGCCATGGGGATTAAAGGGAGTGATCATAAAGCATCTCGGGCAGGGTTTTGCTTACAAGGTTTATCTGTTCCTTCAGCCACTCGTCGGACAGCCCTTTATTGAGTACCTGGAGGCGTTTAGTGAACAGCCCCGACCACATGTCTTTTCTTGGCTGCACATGGTCTGATGGGGCAGATGGAATCCGGCAGTCATGTCTTGGCAGCTGTGAGGTGGGCTGAAAAGGAAGGATGAGGGGTAGAACAGTTGAGCAGTATTGGAAGCTCAGCATGACCTCTCAATACCCTGCTGGGAGTTGAAAGCTGAAGGATAAAACAACATTAGCAAAAGGAGGCGGTTGGGATCATTGTAACCCTGGGTTTCTCAACCTCAGTGCTTTTGGCATTGGGAAACAGAAGAGTTCTTGGGGAGGGAGGGTGTGAAAGCCACTTACTTCATGGGTAAAATATGGGCACACTCTTCCCTTGGGATTTACAGCCTTGGAAACTCATCACATGGTCAGAGGTTAGTTCCAGCTCACCTGTAGCCGCTAGAGTCTAGTAGCGTTCCCTTCCACCTTTGTGATCATCAAAAATGTCTCTAGCCGTTCCCCAGGGTCCCCGGAGGCAGGAAGAAGGGTCGCAGAACACCCTTAAGTTAAAGACCAGTGTTCCCAACAAAAGGAACAACCTGGACAAGGCTTGGGTCAGAGAGGAGCTGGTTGCATTTGAGGAAGTTAAAAATGCGTGGGGTGAAATACTCATGAGACAGAGATGAGTTCAGAGATCCTCCCTCCATCTGTCAGAAGTTCCCAGATCCCCCCAGGTGGTAGGTGATCTTGAACAACACCAGTTAACATGGCAAAGTCTTCCTTCAACCCTCATAGCAAACCTATCTTACAGGTAGGCAAACTCAGGCTCAAAAAGTAGCTTATCGCTGATAGATGGCACGAGGCAATGTTAGAGCCAAGTAGTGGCCTGGTCTGTGGGGAGTTAAGCTGCTAATCCACGACCTCTCCTCTCTGACCGTTGGAATCTACTTCAAGGGTGAAGGGCGGGCAGTTGCTCCCCTTGCAAGCTACAGCTTTGGAGACCTACCAGAAAGGTCAGAAATAAGTCAGTTCCACCTCCGTGTCAGTGAGTTCGAGTTTTGACATCTGGTACATTTGTTGATGTTGCTGCTGTTGCTTGAGGTTGGTCGCGTAGAGAAGTCGGAGAAACCCAGGTTGGCAGGACAGCCACGAGAGGAAGCATTCCCATCCCTGAGCTCCCTGCCAGGTTGTGGTGTCACTTCACAGCCAGGGACTTCCTAAGGGGAGGCACCTCTTGAAGGTGG